GAATATGCTACAACAGTAATTTTGATGGTAAAGAAAAAATATATCGTAATGGATTTCCAAGAAGAAGCAAAGAAACTTTACAAAAATTAATCCGAATTCAAATTGAGGAACCTTCGCGCACTTTGATAATGTCGGCTTAATTTCGTTACATATAATGCGGCATATATTGTCAATTTTTTCTATGAGCGCACATATGATACTTAGGTTTGTCTTGTCATTCTACAGTCGCTTTATGCACACTATGAGCTTATTAGATCGATACCTACAATTTAACGTGGATTCCGAACCACTCACAAACATCCATGCGACAGGCCAAGATTCGTACCTGAAGCACTAGCAATGGCCATCAAGACACTGTAACACTTAGGAGAAAGATTAATTTTCTACCATTTTCTATGCATAATTTTTAATTAGAAAAAAATAAATAAATAAAATCTCGTATATTCGGCAGCGGCATATAATCCTTTGGATGAACCGCGCCTTTTCTTTGGCGTACCATATACCAATTATGATTTAAAATCCATCACATTGAACTAACAAAACGTTTTTCATTTAAAATTTTTTTTTTAGTACCTCAATTATATAAAAAAATTTAATTTATACCATAAGATAATGGAAAACTTGAAAGAAATTATGCGTTTAAGAAAACAAAAGAGACGACATTTGCCCAACAATTTGTTACCCTTCATATTTGCTAGAGATGAAAATTTTGATCGATTTGCAATTAATTTTCAAATTGGCTTTCTGTAAATTTAATCTATAATTTTATTCAACTTTTTTTATCCATTAGTACACATCGATGCTTGAAAGGCATCGCGTTTTGTCCAATTTTGTAAAATCCGGGCTTTGTTCCGTTGTCCGTGTTTCATTATGTTTGAATTTTTTTTTTTCACCCAAAGTTTTGTTGAAAAAAGAATATTTAGGTGTGTTTTATAAATTGATCTTTATGAAACTTCCCAAAAAAGGAATGCCCACAAATTGCGTAATCAGATCTATAATACTCACCATGAAAATAAATTTTTATCATATAATTTCTGGATTGCAGGCAGGTAAATTACAGTATGTATCAGAAGAAATTGTATAATATTAAAAATAAATTCTCAAACTTTCTGAAAATGCGCAATCTTTGGTGATATTTCATCAAGATAAATTTATAAAATACAGTCACTCCTTTTTTTTTTTTTTTTTTTTTTAGTTCGGTAAGTAAACAAGATTCCATCAAAGGCATATTATGAATAAAAATTAATTAAAAAATATAATTCCAAAATAAAATAACAGATGGCTGTCAAATTAACATGCAAATAAAAAATTCCAGTAGATGACCCACCAGACATCCCATTACCACGAATGTTATTAAATGTGTGATAGTGCAACATCGCGAGATTCTGATTTACATATTTTATATGTGGGACTTTTTTTTTTATGTGGTCTCTATTTATCGCATAATTTTATTTTAATGTGTTGCAAACAATATATACACTATCTGGAAGAAAGTGACGGGACACCCCTCGAAAAGTAGAAAAGTCGACAATACAGCTGACACATGCGCAATAATAGGTATCACGTGTCAGCCATATCCTATAAATACTCTGTGGAGTCGACTAGAGTTGTGTTTTGTCAAGATGCCGCCACGGGAAGAGTTGTCTGAGTTCGAGAAAGGTGTGTTGGTTCGATTGCATCTTGCCAATTAGGGAGATATCCCGTCTCCGTAACTGCTCAAAATCAACTTTAGCACGTGTTGTGTGTCGCTACAAGAATGAATGACACTGTCAGAACAAACCCCGAAGTGGACGACCTACAGTTCTTCCCAACAGGGACCGGCGGGTGCTCGGCAGGGAGATTCGAAGTAACCGTCAAACTTCCATGGATAACATCGCTAATGAGTTTAGGCAAGCCACAGGTGTGGCCGTTTCGACCAAGACTCTTCGTATCGAGGCCCATAAGTTAGGTTAAACTGGACGTTCGGCGGCCCATAAGCCTTTGATTACGAAAACCAACAAGAAAGCGCGCCTTTGATGGCCCAAAGACCACCGTACTTGGACTCTGGATGACTGGAAACGCGTCCTTTTGAGTGACGAGTCACGATTTACCCTTTTCCATTCCGATGGACGTGTTTGGATATGGCGTTTACCAGGAGAACGCCTTTTGCCCGAGTGTGTTGTCCCAACTGTAAAGTTTGGTGGAGGAGGTTTGATGGTATGGGCCTGTTTCTCCTGGTATGGGGCTGGCCCACTGGGAAGGTTGATGGTGCGATGAATGCCGATAGATACTGTGATATTCTCGACAATCATGTCCTTCCTACCTTGTGGGCAACGTACGGTATGGATGATTGCTGGTATCAAAACGACAACGCAACATGCCATGTTGCAAGGAGGACTCTTGATTGATATATGAACAACAACGTTAAACGCATGGAGTGGCCGGCGCAGAGCCCTGATCTTAACCCAATTGAACATCTCTGGGACGAATTGGACCGTCGGTTGAGGGCCTGCACCCCACTCCCCAAAAGCAAGCCTGAACTATGGAACTTCCTGTTAAACATTTGGAAGGAAATTCCTCTTGCCACTATGACTAATTTAGTGGAAAGCATGCCCAGAAGGGTTGCAGCTGTGATCGCAGCCAAAGGAGGCCCTACCTCCTATTAATTTTAATAAATATGGATTTATGTCGCTATAGTGTCGTGTCCCGTCACTTTCTTCCACATAGTGTATATTTATAGCTGCTTTTGAAATTTCAAGTTATTTTTTTTATGCGATTTCCTTTATGTGGTCCCTATTGTCCGTTCAAAAACAAGTTTGATTGTAATGAGATTTATTTATTAATTTTTTTAAGGATAATTGAAAGCTACGCTATTGCACTCAAAAAACACTTTTTTTTCTTCTGAAAAAATGATACATAAAAAACACCAAATTTTTATTTCACCACTCACCATTTATTCCAAAATTCTTTTGTTCTTCCCAAAATGTGCACATTTTTTGACAGACAATAAGACAGCTACAAATGTAAACGATAATTTTCTACCGAAGAGCAATTGCCAAAACTCAGGAGGAGTAATAGAAACGTTTTCGAATATAAATAGCACGTGAGGCTTCTTAATTTGGCCATTCATTCTATTAGGTTCTCTAAAATATCATCCTTCAAATTGAATGAAAACGTGATATTATGAAGTGTCTTTTTTCAATTCACTAGCTTTTATGTTTTACTTCACCTATTTTTTATTCACTGAACAGACGTTACCAGATTACGTAAAATAAAAAGTTTTTTAATAGGTTAAAAAAATATCAATAAAAATGACTAATTATTATACAGCACATTGTAAAAGAAAAACTGTTCTGAATAACTATTGACGAATAAAAATAATTTAGAAAATAAAATATAAATAAGCCTATGTAATATAACATTTTAAACAAATACATAACATTTTAATAGACCATATTAAAAAAAAAAAAATCATAAAAACTTGAATATTTACCATTTTAATTTCCAGAAATTTTTACAAATTATAAACTAAAATAGCAACAGATACAAAATAAAGCTTTTGTTTAATAATATAATAAACAGTGACAATTTTTCCGAAAATTTCGATTAAATATAAAATAACAGAATCGTAAATTCAGTAAATAAAAAATAAAGACGCTAAGTATAATATTTCTTGAAGTAATATTGTGTATATATATATATTCTATCGTATAGTATTTGCTGAAATCAACATGTAATATTTTCGGGAATTTTATTGAATACTAGGATTAATTTCATTTTCTTGGAAACATTAATAAATCATCAAAAAAAAAGAGTGAAAGAGTGCCAAACGCAGTCCTACCCTGAAAATAAAAAAACAAAATCCTGGAATCTGATTGCAGCGCCACCTACCGATTCCACTTGTGAATCTAGATCATACAGGGACCCACTCAAACACACACACACACACAAAATTTCATCAAAATCGCCCAGCCGTTTAGGAGGAGTTCAGTGACAAGCATACGTACAGAAGAATTACATATATAAAGATTTTACATTGGTGGTATTCCATTACCATTTGTAATGACGAACAGCCTAAAATGCGAGCATTGCCTTCCAGAACAACTTTTAGGGGTAATTGCCCCTTATATGCTCATTGTATGGAAGAAAATGAGAAAAGTTTTGATCAGGCAATCTGGCTATCAATACGAAAAACTTATGCATACTGTCTTAATCGCCATCGAGTCATCTCATTTTTTGAAAGCAATGACTGCAATAGCCCCACCAGTAGCTTTGTACCGGAGTTGCATTCTGCACTGTAACTGCATACCTTACAAGTGAGCAAAGAATTGTGGTCTCACGTCTTTCGGTGGGAACGAGTTGTGTGTGAGCAAAGGATTGTGGTCTATTTCCCCCAAAAAAAAAAAAAAAATAAATAAATAAAATTCTCGAAAATGTTTCATTTTTCGATTTTAAACATAAATTCGTACGATATAACGAAATACGTTATTATAATACTTCAATTTAATCAGTTACTCAGATATTTTATAAGTGGTTAAGAACATTTGATAAATTATTTTACAAGTTTACTATTCTGTTTCAGAAAGATTAAAGTTAATAATTTAAAATCTATTCCAAAGTTAACAACAATCATGTTTGTAGCGTAGATAATGTAGGTTTGGTTTAGTTTGTCGCTCTATGGTCATTTCGTGCACACATTAGGCATTACCTACAGTTTAACGTGGATTCTGAGCCACTAACAATCATAGATAATAGAGAGTTTTTGCATACCGTACGTTAGTTACCGTAAGACGTCCGTTAGCTTTTTCTCCCTAGCGCGCATGCTATTTAAATGAGCATTGCTTTATTATTTATTTCGAACACAAAATTCACTAATATATAACAGAAATTCGTTATTTTTCATGTCCACCAATATTTAAATGCAATTCCTTTAATAGAGAGTTTTTTGCATACCGTACGTTAAGTTACCGTAGGACGTTCGTTAGTTTTTTCTTCCTAGCGCGCATGCTCATAGGTAGGCCAACGGCCGTACCATGCTGAATATACCGGTTCTCGTTAGATCACCGAAGTTAAGCATCATTGGGCGCGGTCAGTGATTTTCAGTGGGTGACCACCTGGGAACACTGGGTGCCGTTGGCAAATTTGGGACCTGAATGGCCGAGTGTCTAGCGCTCTGGCGCTCGGTGCCACAGGTTTCGGGTTCGAGTCCCAGCGGTGCCATGGATGTTTGTAATGGTTCGGAATCCACTTTAAGCCGTAGGTCCCGGTCTCCTACGACTGTAAGAGCGTCACGGAGCAAAAGTCAGGCTTCTACCTACGGGTGCTCCATCACAACAGAAGCTGCTTCCTTCCCCTTCAATCATGAGTCCATATGGGCTCGTGGGCTTGGCCAGCCAAGTGGGATAAGAAACAACAACAACAACAAACATGCTCATAGGAAATTATGTTTCCTATGAGCATGCGCGCTAGAGAGAAAAAGCTAACGGACGTCCTACGGTAACTAACGTACGGTATGCAAAAACTCTCTATTATTTATTTCGAACACAAAATTCATTAATATATATTACAGAATTCTAGTTTCCACTTATTATAAATAACTGATTACGAAAGACACATAAAATAAGTACGTAGTACGTTGTATTAGTTACAAAAGACGAAGGAGAGTATACTATTATGAATTCACCACAAATAAAAGGGGAAAAAAATCGAATGATTTTCAGTATTGCGGGCGGGAACATTTGGAGGGGGGAAAAGCAAAATATCGTTTGCATAGAACAGATGGAGCAGCGATTTATAAAGATTACGAAAAGTGACAAAATAATGAATGATGACAGCAGGGGATGAATTGTATATGGATGACAATATAGTTCTTATCAGTAATTTTTTCTTATCAATCACATCGCGAATAAATATGCAGCAATCTTGCTTTGGATTTATTGCAACCTAGATTTCACGATTATTTGATTTTCTCGAAAGACTTGCATAATCATAAATGTGACATAGTGAATCGCCGCGCTTTAAATATTTTAAATTATCAGCACAAAGTTTCGGTATTTAAAACAGCTTTTTTAAAAAAAAAATTAAGATAACAATTATAAGCATAAGGCTTTCGTCGTTCACCTCTGATGTCAATAATTGTCCACAAATTCTGAAAAATAACTTCAGTTGCCGATTTTAAACCAATAGAACACATTTTGCGAGAATTAAAGGTGACAATACGAAGGGAAGTAATGATCGAAGAATAGAGGAGCATTAATGCAGAAAAAAAAAAAAAAAAAAAAAAATGATGTTTAAAAGCTGTTGTGAATGTTGTAAGATTATTCTATAAGTACAGTCAAACGAGTTTTTTTTTTACCATATATACATATATATATATAAAATTCCACCAAATGCATATTATGAATAAAAATTAAAAATGGAATTCAAAAAGAAAACAACAGATGGCTGTCTAAATAACATGCAAATTTAAAAAAAAAAACACACCTGATATATCATTCCATTACTACGAATGTTATTAGATTCGATGTATTGCTACATCGTGAGGTTTTTATTTACATATTTTCTATGTGGGACTTTTTATATGTTGTAAACAATGTATTTTACAGCTATTTATGAAGTTTCAATGTTTTTTTGTGCAATATATATATATATATATATATATATATAAATTCCATCAATGCACATTATGTATAAAAAAATGTAATTCAATAATAAAACAACAGATGGCCCACCTAATATTATATCATCCCATTACCACGAATGTTATTAGATTCGATGTATTGCTACATCGTGAGGTTTTTATTTACATATTTTCTATGTGGGACTTTTTTTATATGTTGTAAACAATGTATTTGACAGCTACATATGAAGTTTTAAGATTTTTTTTGTGCGATATATATAAAAAAATTCCATCAAATGCATATTACGAATAAAAATTAAAAATGTAATTCAAAAAGAAAACAACAGATGGCTGTCTAAATAACATGCAGATTAAAAAAAAGTCATCAGATGTCTCACCTGATATTATATTATCCCATTACCACAAATGTTATTAGATTCGATGTATTGCTATATCGTGAGGTTTTTATTTACATATTTTCTATGTGGGATTTTTTTTTATTTGTTGCAAACAAAGTATTTGACAACTACTTATGAAGTTTCAAGATTTTTTTTTTGTGTGATATACATACAAAAATTAAATCAAAAGCATATTATCAATAAAAATTAATTTAAAAATGTAATTCAAAAAGAAAACAACAGATGGCTGTCTAAATAACCTGCAAATTTAAAAAAAAATCCATCCCATCACCACGAATGTTATTAGATTCGATGTATTGCTACATTGTGAGGTTTTAATTTACATATTTTCTATGTGGGATTTTTTTTATTTGTTGCAAACAATGTATTTTGCACTAATTATGAAGTTTCAAGATTTTTTTGTGCGATATATATATAAAAAAATTCTATCAAATGCATTTTATGAATAAAAATTAAAAATAGATTTCAAAAAGAAAACAGCAATTGGCTGTCTAAATAACCTGCAAATTTAAAAAAAAATCCATCCCATCACCACGAATGTTATTAGATTCGATGTATTGCTACATCGTGAGGTTTTAATTTACATATTTTCTATGTGGGATTTTTTTTTATTTGTTGCAAACAATGTATTTTGCACTAATTATGAAGTTTCAAGATTTTTTGTGCGATATATATAAAAAAATTCTATCAAATGCATTTTATGAATAAAAATTAAAAATAGATTTCAAAAAGAAAACAGCAATTGGCTGTCTAAATAACATGCAAATTTAAAAAAAAATCCATCAGATAGCTCACCTGATATTATATCATCCCATTACCACGAATGTTATTAGATTCTATGTATTGCTACATCGTGAGGTTCTTAATTACATATTTTATACCTGGGATTTTTTTTTATATGTTGCAAACAATGTATTTTATGACTAATTATGAAGCTTGAAGATTTTTTTTGTGCGATATATATAAAAAAATTCCGTCAAATACATTTTATGAATAAAAATTAATTAAAAAATGTAATTCTAAAAGAAAACAGATGACTTTCAAAATAACATGTAAAGTAAAAAAAAAAAAAAAAAAAAAAAATTGCAATCGATTGCCTACCTAATATTATATCATCCCATTACCACGAATGTTATTAGATGTCAGGTAATGCTACATCGTGGGGGCCCTATTTAACGCATAAAAATCTTTTTTTTTTTTTTTTTTTTTAAATGTGTTTCAAATAATATATTTTATAGCTACTTATGAAGTTTCAAATTATTATTTTTAATACGATTTCTTTTGTGCAGTCTATCGCCCGTACAAAAACAGGTTTACTAATTGACCGAAATATTACAATATTTATTAATATGTATACATTATTTTTAAGTGTATTAAGTAACATTTTAGTTTCGATTTCTCTGGAGAAAAAAAGTTTTGTTATGTTCGTAAAATAATATAGAAAAGTTTGTTAAGAAAAAGTTAGATAATGTTAAAAAATTCTCATTTTGAAATATTAATTTTTATTATTAGATAGAGCAGTATATTATTGAAATTTGAAAATGTATGGACACATTTGGGTAGCACTATATATGAACTAAAAATTTTTTTTAAAAAAGCTGAAAATTTTTTTTTGTCTGTGGTTAAGTTACGCTTTATAACTATTGATCAGGAAAATTGTTTCTATAAAATTTTTTTTAGGTAAAAATAAATCTAATTTCGGCATTTGATTTTTTTTTAAATATTATTAATTAATATATGATAAAATGTGCTGTATGTTAAGACGCATGTTAAAGAACTTGAATGGTCGAAATTAATGATAAAATTTAAAGTTCTAGATTTAGAAAAAAATCCAATTTTAAAGATGGTTATTTTTTAAGACTTTTTTTATTTCAAGACATGGTTCTGTTGTTAAAATTATCCACTATCCCTTTAAGACCTGAAATTTTTTTTATACTTAAATTTTACATTTTATTAATTTTTAGTAGGCATTGATTCCAATGACACTAAAAAAGATAATTCAAATAATCTATACCCCCTCCTAAGCCAGAGGAGACAGCACAAGTTAGGGTTTTAGGGGGACGATCATGTGGGTTAGGGTTTTCCATGAAAAAATTTCAAAAATGCCTCACCCACATTATCGTAAGTTCTCGGGCTTAAAGGCTCGTTCCCACCGAGGTGTGAAGAGTTGAAGATTCACGCGGCAGGCATGAAAATTTTTTCGAGCCCTTCACAGCGAAACGTCAGAAATAGCATTACGCCTAGTGAAGTTCCGTTTCGAGTTGAAAGTGGTGGATTTCAAACAACGGTCAACGGATTGGTCAACGCTTCACGCTTAAACACCTCGGTGGGAACGAGCCGTAAAGGTTATTCTTTTACTGTCGCTAATACATTTATTAACAGACTCTATGATAAGGTATTGATTTTTAAAAATATTTTTAGCTTATCCTCTGAAAACACTTAAAATTTCTTCTACCCATCATACTGCATTTTATTTTTACTTTTAATTGGCTTGATCTGGCCACTGATCAAATAAACTGCAGTTAACCTACAATTGTTTAAATTGGTATACGACACCAAATTGTCTTTCATTCTTTCGAAATCTATTAATAGACTTGACGTCAATTAGATTGCCAAACATTTTTGAGAATTGCAGTTGTTCGAATGAATAATTTTATATAGAAAATTTAAATAAAATATACGTCTACTTTTTTTTTTTTTTTTTTTTTTTTTTTTCAAAAATAATTTTTCATATCCAAGTTGTATAGGTGCAAAATATAGCGATACCGTAGATAAAGGAATAATTTGAGCGAATTATTTTACAGAAAGATAATCCTTATTCAACAATTGGATCTTTTCTGAAAAATCATTGAATTAATTTTCAATGCACTTTTAGATACTGCTATTAATTAAATGCAATTGTAAAATATATTTTGACATGAAATTATGTATTATAGTATATTTTATTATGTATTTTTATATGTACTATGCATTACTGTACATTTTATTATGTATTTTTATATGTACTATGCATTACTGTATAGTACATACAATAATGTATAGTGCATAATAAAATACATATTTTATTATGTATTCATATTTTTTTATATGTACTATG